TTTACGGAGTCAGTTCTGGGTTTTTAATGAAAGCTCCATTAGTGCAAAAAGCTCAAAGCAAGGAAGCAGAAATGTAAATTTCAGAGACCCTGATGCTTTTACTTATGAAAAACTCTCATCTTCCCATTTAATAGCACCTGAACTTTTCACAAGGAGAGCTCTATTTCTGAACAAACCAAGAGTGCCTGTAGTGCTCAGTGGCCTAATGTCTTTGATCATAAGTGGATTCAGATATTGTGTTATTAGTCATCTGCTAATCAAGGTGCTGATTATGGCCTCATTAAATCTCATCGCCTTAATAATCTAATTTTCTTCTAAGCTGCAAAAATGATAAACAAGTTTATTATCATTGCTATCAAGATTAAGTTAACCCATTTGAACTCTGAGAAATTGAGCCAATTTTAATTTTGATGTGTTACTTCAGCCATTTTCAGAGAAAAATGTCATCAAAGGCAAAAAGTAATGTAACTATGGGAATGTCTATAGGCTTATGATCACAGATGAGATGACAGGACTCACCTTTGTAAAATTACAACTTTATGAAGTTTTGACTCCTAAGATCCACTTTAAATGCAGATGTTAGTACTGCTGGCTTTCCACCTGAGCCCTTTATAAAATGTCAGCTCACAGTTTCTGAGTTGGAGAAGCAACTTAATGAAAAAATTTTCTCTACTGTGGTGTGATATTTTCTTCGTTTTGTCTTTCTTTTCCTTTTTATAACAAAAGTTACTTATAAAGATAAATCAGTGCTACACTGACCATATATCAGCAAGCCAATTCAACAGCCCATTGCTTGTTTAACTGGTATCAAACTCCTATTGCCTTGAGGTATTTTCCAGACCTGCTTAACCTTACTAATAAAATCCACAGAATTTGGTTTTTCTTGTGCAGTTAGGGCCATAGTGATGCACAGCCCTGCCCAGGGGTTTCATGCACATGGTAGCATGTGGGAACAGTGCCTCTAAATTGTGCAGTGGATGCCACTGCTCTAAGTTTAGTTTCTTAGAAATAATTCATTCTATGAATTTTGTCCATAACTAAATTAATGCCTCAACTATGGCTTCTTTCATATGTGCAGAAATAACTGGGTTAAAAGTAAACTAACAAAATTATACCTCTCTGAAGACTCTTGAAGTCTTGGCATATGTATTTACTGTTATTAGTGTACTGCAGTGCTTCAAAATTTAATGTATCTAAAGAAAAGAAAAGCTTGTCTCATTAATTTCCAACATTCTTTCTCTAGGCTTTTTACCTTTTTGATTAAGGTAGAATTTTAGATGAAATTCAATATGGCTATTACTGAGTGGTTTATGAAACCCAAATACTCATGGGAAAAATTAAGAATTTTAATAATTGTAAAAGAAGAAATTCATTTAAATCAGCCTTTGGTTTATCTGTTTAAATTGAACACATTTATTAAATCATTATTGTACAATTTTGAACTTTCTTCTGCTCTTACATAAACAAATCTCCTCTGGATTTCTTATTTCATTTAAAAAAAATCTTGCTTTCCTTTGACAAGATGAATCCAGTATATGGACTAGAGACTGAATTATTTTCCTTTATTTCTACTGAAGGGAAGGCAATTAGTTAATTGTGGGGCTAAGTTGACCTAACTTTATTCCTTGAACATTTGAGAAAAGAATGCCTTTCCCTGCTACTTTTTTGCTATTTCAGGATATTCTGAGCAATCCTGGTGACTCATAACCAACCATTTTCATGGCCGGCTTTGTATAACTGAGGGAACACATCCTTCTGGGTGAGAAGTGAGCCTTGCTTAACTCAGTGTCCCTGACACATTTCCATGGAAGAAGGACCATGACTAGTACAGCAGAATCCTAAAGCAGACAGCTGAAAGCAGCAGATGTCTGTGAAGTTCTGTGTTTCATCCCCATGCCATTTTTTATTCAACTTCATAAGAGGTGGCTTAGTGGTTGTAAAATAATGGTTTCTCTTCCATTTCTTTCCTTTCTGCTCAATAAATTGATGTTCCAGAGAGATCTTTTAGCTTTGTTTTGTGGATGTAAGTGCCCTAGACAAATAAATGCCCCCAGATTCTATAATTATCTAGTTTGAGAAATACGGCCTTAGTGGCTTCAAGCCCTCCTATTTGTACCTTTTAGGGCTGTTAGTCTTTAGATCGGTTTGGGTCTATATTTGTCCAGGTAAATTTCATATATTATTATATCTTAAATTATCTGAAATCTGATGGGACAAATTATTCTGGAGCTTGCTTCTCTCTCAGTTCCATTCTATCTCTTTCCATCACTTGACCACAACTTAGGCTTCCGTTTGTGAACCATTCAGTTTGTCCTTAATCTTTCCAATTTGATTTTTCTGAAATGTTTCTGTAAATGTCTTTAGTTCTTTTCTGTTCACTAACTCTATTGAGTTTTTTATTGTTGTGGCTGGATTTCAGCCTCTCTTTGCATCTCAGCATTTCCTCTATTGACAGTGAATCATTTTATCGGGCAGTTTGGGTTAGGTTATGTCATGGTAGCAATATCCCAGTGTCTTTCAACAACAGAGGTTGGTTTCTCACTCATAAAAATGCAGGTGGTGGCTGTGCTTTGTGGTCCTTTCACTCTGGGATCCAGGTTGAAGAAACAAATTCTGTATGGGGAGAGGAAAGAAATGGCAGGAGCATGTGATAGCTCCTATGGCTTCAGCTTGGAAGTAGCACGTGTTACTTCCACTCACGTTTCATTGGCTAGGTTAAGTCCTACAGCCAAGCCTGATGCTGCTGAGGCAGGAAGTATGATCTTCCTCCACAGACAGATCTGGTAGGGAGATGCAGCATAGATTGACAATAATAAAATCTACCAAAGCCGTATTTTTTCCACTTTTTGCATACTCAGAATGTGACACAATGCCCTCACATAATGGATGTTTAGTAGGGGAAAGACCCACTTCTTTTGTTCCAGTATACTTTCTTGGTGGTATTGAGGACTTCGTCCTGACTTCTCTGGGTCCTCTTCATCATCTGCTTTTATTCAAGTGTTGATCATCAGCATTTTCTCTTTGTTCGTCTCTTCCTCTCTCTGGAAATAGTTTTCTACTACACTTTACTGTTTGGAACCCCACCATGATTTGCTTTATTTTCTGTAGTTCATGGAAATTTGCCATCACACAAACTTTCTGAGTGTTTCAACAAGATAATAGAAACATTGAGTTTTGATTTAAAACCATGTTGAGACACTAGAAAGGGAATCAATTCTTTAGCACTTTGATTTCTGCTTTGCCATTCTGAATAGAACCATTCTGTTTGAAGTTTGTACATGCCAGCAAATGGGCTAACCCTAAGCTTTTGTCTGGTAGCAACTGGGTTTATTAAGCTGCAACAATAGCTTGAGCTTAACTCAAATACAGAATACCTCACCTGAGTGTTGCATAGCTTTCAAGGAAATAATGTCACTATACCTGTACAAAACAAGGGCTATATGGAAAATATCCTAATTCAGAATCCCTTTTGCCATCGATCATAGTCTTACTTCTTTTCAGTTTCTTTGTATTAATCATTATTTCTAAATGTGATGGGCATTTTGTTTTTGTACTTCAACACTTTGAATGGCTGTTGCAATGCTAAATGTAATCTGCCTTGTAGTGCAATTTTTTTTTTTGCTTATATATTTAAGCTCCCCCAGTAGATTATAATGAAGAAAGAGGTCCCCTCACCACTCTTTTGGGTAAATACTAACAATGTTTAAATTGAACATGACTATTGAAGTTGCTGTCCTATTATTGAACTTAAGGTGGAGTCCTGTATGCTAGCTCTCTACAATTTTGTTAAATGACTAAGCGATTAAAATGCATGCATATTTAAAATAGATTTTCAGCTGTAGAGTCATAGCAGCTACTGTTGGTGCCCAGCCATATGTCCCTGATAGCTACTTTTTCTGAGCCCACTAGACTGACTTGCTAGCGTTAGCAACTCTTTGCCTGAGGGCTTCTCTGGTTTTTGGATCCCTCTCTGCCCCTATATAGACATATTGGGGAATTAATGTTCCCTGGGAGCAGCCCAAGAAACACGGCTGACAAGAGATATTGGATAAACGCCCCAGCTTCCTTGCCTTTCAGTTAGGGTGTATATAGGGTGTTTTATTGGCGCTGTCTTCCAGAGTTCCCCAGTGGAACTGAGGCCCAATTGCCCACAGTGGTAACTTGCTTGATAATGTACCCTGTATCAGCTGTCTTCCCTTCTCTGCCTCACTTCTCTACTCTCCTATTGGCATTTCTTTGATTAACTCCAAATCAAGCTATTTGCAGTCTCATCTCAGTTTCAGAGAGTCTCGGAATTTCTAAAAAGTTATTTAAACCAAAACAGGCATTCATGTGTCAACATTTATAATTTAACAATTTCTCTCTTTCAGTGCAGTCCAATAAAAATGTAATACAAACTACATAGCTTAGAATTTTCTAGTGGCCACATCCTTTAAAGTGAAAAGAAAGAGGTGAAATTTTAATAATGTGGTTTAATTCTATATATCCAAAATATTACCATTTTAACATGTAGTCTATATAAAATTAATGAGGTTTTTTTTTGATGCTTCATCTCTAGAATCTGTTATATAAAATATACTTATACTGTAAATGAAAAATACCCTTACAGTACATCTCAATTGCAAGTATTCAATAGCTATGTGTGGCTAGCGGCTACCATATTAGATAATGGTGATCACTTCCCTGCTATTGTGACCCGTGTGTCAAAATCTAGAAATTTGATAGCTCTTGAATTAGAGGTTGTGTAATGAATTGTATTGTCTATTAGCAAAATCTTGCCTTCTTTTGCCCTTTGAAGTGGAAAAAAATTTCTGTAAATATCTAGACTGATGGATACTCTTGCCTTGTTTAGCCTGTGTCTACATATTTTTTTCTTTTTTTCAAGAATGAGCTTCTGGCAATTGAGCTTCTCTCAATGTTACATTGAGACTTAACACTTCTTACATGTTTTCATGCTAGCTATAGACTAGATGTTTAGCATCTGTGCTTGTGTTTTTCAGGCAGAGGGCACCAGACTTCAGCGAGAACTCCGAGGATATTTAGCAGCAATCAAAGGTAATGTGTATAAGTTGTTTACTGCATGTTACTAAGCACAGGTTGTTCTTGGAATTCATGAGTGACAGGATTGAGTGTTAATTACAAAGCCATTTGGCTTCCTGGCAAGATGGGTGCTTGAACACAGGTGTTCCCTTCCACCCACCCCCAAATTCCCATTGAAATGATAATCAGAATATATAAGGAAAAAATATGCCTGCCCTTATGCTGGAAACTAGAAATAAATGCCACCCACATGCCAGAGATTTCCAGGAAAATTTCTTAGAGTGAGCTGGAGACCTTGTTTAAGAAAAGCTGCAGCTGGTTTACCTCCTGAGGAAGACCACATTCCAAGAGTAAAGCACTTATAGACTCGCACCTAAGCCCTCCCACTGGAAGGGGCAGGACATGGTGGCAGAGGCAGGAGGAAGATTGTCAGCAAACATGGCCCTGGACTGGCTGTGACTTGTGTATACCCGCAGCACTTGCAGCCCTACTGACGTGCAATGCACAGGAATGGAGAGGCCTTGGCATGAGTTTCTGGACTCAGCCATGTAAGGCAAGGAAATGAGGCCACTGGAGGAGGGAAAAGAGAGCAATAGGGAGGTGGGCTCAGCCTATGTCTGCTACCCATCAACACACTGCCTGCCCTGGCTCACAGCCAAGTATGCCCACAGATATAATGTATCATAAGGCAGATTTTGTGGGGAAAGAATTGATCATCTGACAAGGGGTACTGGGAAAACTGGCCAAACACTTAGAAAACAGTGAAATTCTCAACCTCACACTTTACTCCCTCCTTCCTAATTCCAGATATAGTAAAGATTTAAATATGTTGTTTTGCTGCATTCTACTAACTTCAATAGGGATAGCACCAGGTTCAAGGGGCTGAAGAAGGGAAGCCAGAGTCAGCAGACGAGACACAGCTGTATTCGTGGAAAACTTACAGAGTGGGCCCAGTCATGGCAGGGCTGGGCAGGAGTACCACATAACCCATTGGTGGCAGGCTGGGAGGAGAACTGCATCCGTTTGGAAAAAGCAATGCAATTTCTGTAACATTTTCACTTAGCACCCTCCACCTAACAACATCCACCTGGCAACCTTTTTTTTAACCCAAAAGACACGGCCTCAATCCCTTTTATGGCCTGCTTCCACGGGACTGGCTGGGGCTCAGATGTTCCTTGTAGACAAGGAACGAATGTCTGGGCTGGCCACTCCCAGATTTCTTAGCTCCAAACTCTGAACACATACTCAGGTGCATCCACCATACAGGTGCATCTCAGGGTGTGCTTATCACTGTCAGGTGTGTCTGCCATCCATCGATATGCAAAGAGATGTGCTTAAGTACTGAATAAATTATAGTAAATTTAGTCTCTAGGGTTGTAAAGGAGGTCTTTATAAGGGTTACTTCCAAGGCAGAAACCCATAAAGATGGAGAGATTTGACCTTGTAAGTATTTAAAACTTAATATATTTTTTAAAAACTCCATTTTGACAACATGTTTAATGAAAGTAAATCAAGATATAAAGAGCTCAGCGAGTAAACTAAATGAAGGTTAGTCGGTTAAGTAAAAAATGGGCAGAAGACTCGAGGGGAAAATGAGCCAAAGAACTACAGATGGGTGATAAACGTGAAAAAGCCTTATCCTCAAAAATAATCAAAAAATATAAAGTAGCATCAAAAAGAAGATTTTATCATTTTTACTTCAAATCTTCGAAGACATTAAAAATAAAAGACTGCAGTATTTAATATTGGCAAAACTCTGGGAAGCAGACCACATTCATGTGTTGCTGGGAGGATAGCTTTTCTGGAGAGCATTCAGGAAAGGTATTTATTTATTTATTTATTATGCTTTTTAACATACCAGTTTCATCCTAAGAATTTATTGTCACAATTTCAATATGGATATGTAAAATTGATTACAAACATGTTATTAAATAATAAAATATCAATAATAAAAAATTGGCCAAAATAATAAAAATTAACAAAATTGATTTTTAAACTAAAATATATTTACTAATTTTATAGCCAGGCATATCATTTTAATTCTCATAATAGCTCTACAGGCAGGTAGTTTTATTATCTTCATTTTATAGATAAGAAAAATGAGTGATAGCCAGGCACAGTGGCTCAAACAGCCTTTAATCCCAGCACTTTGGGAAGCCAAGGTGGGTGGAGCACTTTATGCCAGGAGTTCAAGACCAGCCTGGGCAACATGGAAAAACCCCGTCTCTACTGAAAATACAAAAGTTAGTCAGGCATGGTTGCACATGGGAGGTGAAGGTTGCAGTGAGCCGAGATCACGCCACTGCACTCCAGCCTAGGTGACTGAGCGAGACCCTGTCTCACAAAAAAAAAAAAAGAAAAAGTGAGCTTTTTAAACAGTTTAAAAAGCTCATCCAAGGTCACATGCCAAGGAAACAACAGTGCCAGATTGCATATTTTTTTCTGTTTCCCTCCAAAGCCCTGACTTTTATCTACTGTCTTACTGCCTTTGAACTACATGACCAGTGGTAAGGCATTAGTTTCACAAGTCAGAGTTCATAGATACAATGGAATAATGGCAGCCTATCTATTACTTTTTAATGAGCAGTTACTAAGTGCTAGAGTCTGTGCTAAGCATTTTAGACATATTCCCTGTTTCTAACTTCCCAACACCGCTATATCAATGTCATTAACTTGATTTTACATTTGCAAAGAAGTAAGCCTCAGAAAATTTAACTTCCACAGTTTGATGGAATTACTCCCAAATCAACCTTAAGTATTTGTAACAGTTCAGTCAGAAAATAGAAGCCACTCTAGGTATTTTTTATTATTGATTTAGGTTTTGAACTCAGAAGTCATATGTTATTTCAAGCACAGGACATTTTCTGGGTTAGTTGATTTTTTGAAATGTGAATACATTTGTTGAATGAAAGTGAGTTCTGTTTCCCAAGTGTATACAATTTGGTCTGTGCTGCCTCTTTTATGTGGAGCCTGCTGCTTATAAAGACTGGCATAATTTTTTTCCTTAATGTGATCTAGAAGAATTTCCTGAGAGTGAGGATTGAGCTCCAGAGAAAAGCTGTATAGAGCATCAAATAACCCTTTCTGGCAGACTGTGCCAGCACTCCAGTGCTAGTGGTCACAGCTCCGAATGAAGGAGAAAGGAATTTGATCAGCTTTTCCCCATCTTGGGTTTGTTAACATCAGCTGATTCACTGATGTTAACAAGCAGATCTGTTTAAAATTACTTTGTCCACAGCTGATTGGAATGAATTCCTAAACAGGCCACAGCTAAGTTTCTCAGAGCCCTTAATATGCTACAGTCAACTCCAGAAGTCCTGTGGGGCAGGTAGGAATTCCGAGTTATTTGACTATGGGACCCTTCTGTCTTCTCAAAGCTTTGTGAAGAATGAATAGTGTTCCTGGGAACATATTTTGGATTTTGGGACCAAACTTGAAAACAAGGTATATGTTTGTGTTAATCCATTCTGACACTGCTTGTAGTCATACCCCAGCCTGGGTAATTTATAAAGAAACGGAGGATTAATGGACTCAGTTCCACATGGCTGGAGAGGCCTCACAATCATGGCAAAAGGTAAAGGAGAAGCAAAGGCATGTCTTGCATGGTGGCCGGCAAGAAAGCCTATGCAGGGGAACTGCCCTTTGTCAAACCATCAGATCTCATGAGACTTATTCACTATCATGAGAACAGCCGGGAGAAACCTGCCCCCATGATCAGTTCCCTCCCACAACACATGGGGATTATTACAATTCGAGATGGGATTTGGATAAGGACACAGAGCCAAACCATGTCAATGCCTTAAGTAGATAATAATATATATTTTCAAAGGCTTTCATGGGCAATTTTTCTTGTTTTCACAAGGAGAGCTCTGGGTAACTAATCCTGCTGTAATGCTGGTAGCATTCGGGCAGCATGAGAGAGAGTGATGCCTGGCCCTGGAGAGTCGTGGGTCCTGGGGCAATTGTGGGAAAATCATTGAGTTTCTTAGTTGCTTTGGGTTCCTCTTCTATTAAGTGCTCCAGTTCTCTCAGGAGCTCCCAAAAGCCCCCAAACTGGGATTCTGTGAAGTTGGGTTAAGTGAATTCTAGTTGGTTTATTATGACTGATCTCTGGGTAGCTTCTCTTCTGTGGGTCTCTGTGATTTTTGCTGATGCTTATGCTTTGTGGGGCAGATCTTATGTTTGCATTTATTTTAGCAGCAAACACCTCTGGAACTCCATTTGTGTGCTGGACACTGTTCTAGCAGAGGGAGATGCAGAGATGAATAAGACAAGGAACTCATAGCAGAGATGAGGAGACAGTTAAATAAAAAGGCCAGATAGGTATAGTAATATGTATTAGATGATTTTGCTCAGTGCCGTCATAACAGAGGACAGACTCCCACCTTAGGAGGGGCAAGAGACTGGGGCAGGAATGGTTCTTCCAAGGAACTTACACTTGAATGGACCCAAGAAATGTGGTCATATGTGGCCATTAAGTGATTATGTTTGCTACAGAGAGGGAGATTTTAGAGGGACATTGCAGATTGAAGAAACAACTGAACCAGGAGGTAGAAGGAAGCATAGGTTCTTCAGGTAATAGAGCAGTGAGATACAAGAGGAAAACTGAGCTGGATGAAACATGGAAAGATAAGCAGCATTTGTATAAAGAAGTACTCTAGGCCGGGCGCAGTGGCTCAAGCCTGTAATCCCAGCACTTTGGGAGGCCGAGGCGGGTGGATCACGAGGTCAAGAGATCGAGACCATCCTAGTCAAAATGGTGAAACCCCGTCTCTACTAAAAATACAAAAATTAGCTGGGCATGGTGGTGCATGCCTGTAATCCCAGCTACTCAGGAGGCTGAGGCAGGAGAATTGCCTGAACCCGGGAGGCGGAGGTTGCGGTGAGCCGAGATTGCGCCATTGCACTCCAGCCTGGGTAACATGAGTGAAACTCCGTCTCAAAAAAAAAAAAAAAAAAAAAAAGAAGTACTCTATGTATCATATCACATGGGGATTTTATTCTATCAATAGAGA